TATTAAAAACTAATAAATAAATTGTTATAAATAAAAGTATACAAAAAATTTTAAATTAATTTTTGAAAATTATAAGAACCGAACTTGTTTTGAAAATCTACATAGATGTTGGAGATTTTTAGAGACGTTCACGTTTTTCGAACGATAAAATTAAATCCTTCAAACTCTAAAATCAGAACCCTAGACCTTTCAAACCCTAAAATTAAACCCATAATCCTAAACCCTTTGAACCCTAAAATTAAACCTTCAAAACTTTAAAATCAAACCCTAAACCTCAAACCTTAAAATCAAAACCCTAAAATCCAAAACCTAAAACTCTAAATTTTAAAATTCAAAACCTAAAACCCCAAATTTGGTACACAATCCCGAATCATCACCCAAAAGTCACCAAACTTTAAAACCTCGACCCATACCTATGTTCAAAACCATTTCGAAATTCTAAGGATACATGCGAAAATCTCAAGTAGAGTCATTTGTTTTCAAATGCCACCTAGACGATAGAGTGTTTAGGAAACTTTATTCCATTAAGTTTTTCATGCAAGTCTTTAATTCGCTTTAACAATGAGATGATAACTAATAAATAATAAATTATAATAATAAATTGGGATATTAAATATAAATAGTTGCATTTAAGCTCTGCTTAGATATTGAAAAGTCAAGGTGATCTCATTATATTTAAGAATCCATTTTTAAATTGCATTTTATCACTTTGCATAACATTTATTGGCACACATACGTCATCATATTATTGTTGGCACTCGTTTTGCATTTCTTTGTCTTTAATTTTTATTTGTTACTTGATAATATCATCATTTACTTTCTCATATAAAATGTTTTACAAAAAAAAAAAGAGAAAATAAGTGTTTTAAATTTATGATAATATAAATAAAATAAAATTAACATTCTGAAGAAAATAATTCTTGGTATTCTGCCTAGATATTTGAGAGTCACCAATAATTATCTTTTACAAAGAGTGTTTTTTTTTCTTTTAAGGAATATTGTATTAAATCTCAAGCAAAAAAAGTTACTTTAAATTTTGCCTAGATGTTGGAGAATTTTAAGATAATTCTTTAACTTAAGAATTTCCTCAATGTTCCTAAATAAAGAGTTTTAACAAAAATTTATTTTTAATGGAATTAATATTAAATTTTAAATCAAAACTATTTCATCCAACACAAAAAATAATGCATGATTAATTGGTACCAATATATGCGCGTTGTGGGGGTGCTAATCATTCCCCATACGTAATCAATTTTCGAGCTTAATTTGATTTTTCGTAGACCGAAATTTATCTTTTTGATAAACTTTAAACTCGTTTTTATAATTTTATTAAAAAAATAAGTTCTTTTGTGGCCGATCACACCTAAAAAATAATATTAGTGACGATTATTCCGTTTTTCTCGACTTTAAAATTTTTTATATCTAACGGTCCCAAAAGACACCATTTTAATCCCTTGGTTAATACCCTTCTAGCCATCTATAAGCCCCTCCACATGAGTGAAGGGCTATGCCCCAACCGTGACTCCATGAAGGTTGAACTCGGATAGTACTTAGCCTTGAGGACTTGTGAACTGATGTATTTGGTTTGGAAATAAGTCTCCATCTTTGTTTGCCGAGCATCGCCTTGATAAAAAGTTCCATTTCTTTGAATCCCAAGCCACGCTTTGTTTTTGGCATGCATAGCTCTCTCCATGTGACCCAATGATTGCCTTTCGCTTTTGTCCCTTATCTCCAACGGTAATACTATTTATCTCCACCAGTACCTACCAATAATACTATTTATCTCCTTACATAAGCTCATTGGCAGCAAAAAGCAATTCATTGCGTAGTTTAAAACTGTTGTAATACTGACTTAATGAAGACTTCTTTTCCTCCATGTGACAAGCATCTATTGCTCCACCCTTCTATTTTTTATTTGAGCCTTTCTTTGATTTCCCTGAAAGCTCTTATTTTGCTCCTCCCCACCATCGATGGCAATCCAAGATATTTTCCGAGGTTGTCTGTTGCTTGTACTCTGAATAATACTTTTAGGGTTTTTTTCTGCTCTTGCCCCGTATTGGTGCTGAAATACAATGCTGATTTGTCGTAATTGATTTGTTGTCCCGAGCCTTCCTCATATTTCATTAGCATGCTCTTCACCTTCTCGCCTTCGCTTGGTGTTGCTTTCATAAACAATAAGCTGTCTTCTGCGAAGAAAAGGTGATTCACTTTGGGGCGTTTCGACTAGCTCGAGCTCCTTGAATAGAACCCCCTCTCTGAGCTTTGGCTAATAATGACGACAATCCTTCACTGCATAACATAAACAAATACAGAGATAGGGGTCTCCCTGCCTAAGACCTATTTCTGGCCAAAATTTGTCAATGATGCTCCGATTAATGATAATTGAATAAGAGACAGCTATGATACATTGCATTATGAGAGATATCCACCTAGGCCTTAATCCCATTTTACCCATAATCTCTTTCTGGAACGACCATTTGATTCTGTTTTAGGCTTTACTCATATCGACTTTCTTAACAAAATATCCCTTCTGCCCATCTTTCTTTTGTTTTAAAGAATGAAGAAGTTTATAATAATTTAAATTATATAAATTTTGAAAAAAAATAATTTTGATCAATAAATAAATTATTTTATTTTAATTCTTACACACATCAAATATAAGATAAAAAGATATTATTTAATTTAATCTTATTTATAATATCATCTTATCGTATCTTATCATAATTTTATGTACCAAACACATCAAATACACCTTAATTTACATTAAAAACTTAAATTTTGTCATTTCATATATATACCTACTGCAATCAAGAAGCGAATTTTGTATTAGAAACAGGGAAATATCAAAATAAATTACTTTCACTTGAAATACAAGTCATGCACATGCACAAGCTCAAAAGTCAAAAGCATAAAACAATTACAGATGGATGGAACAACTTCCAATTCTATGCATAAAAGGAAAGTCTTCTAGGATATGGCAACTGGCAAAGGAATTCTTATTACTAGTGTAGCTTAATTGACAACTAATTAAATACTATGAGATGGATAAGCAATGCTATCCATTGGTCTCTAGTGAGTTTCTTGAGCTTAATTCGTTCAGAGTTGTTTGGTTCATGGTTGAAACGTTCTTGAACAGAAGAGAAGTTGCAGCCTTAATATCAACGCTTTCATCACCAGCAACGCCAAAGAAGTTGTCAATTTGGCTTAAATGTTCGCGGTTTGGATCAGCAGGTACAATAAATGAGACCTGCTTTGGTTGGGAAATCATGTAGTCCTGGTGAACTCGACAGCTGACAGCAGCTGTTGTAGAAGAAGCGTGGTTTGGCATGACCTTGGTGGCGTACTGCATCGCTGGTGCTGGCTTGACTGCTAGGTAGAATGCCGTCAGCTTCCCTTTGATGAACCCTCGACGCTTGTGGTTGGACTCCTTCTTAATACCTGTCTTGCTATTAGATTTCAGATCAATTAATCAAATAGCGAGTAGTACCTGAAGACAAGATTAGGCTGGCTATATATAATAGTTGCTTGTGCACTTTTATTCTGATAAAGCAATTTCAGATAAACATGAAAATTCTTGACGGATTGTGGTCCCTCAACTAAATATCTAGGAGAATAATCTTCTTTAATTCCCAAGATCTCTGGTTTGCTCTTGTTATGACATTAGAGAGCTCATTTACATCCAGCTAGATGGCTGTTCTTTTGCTTCCGCTCAAAAGGCACTAACATTGGCCAATTTTGCAGAGGCAAGACTTTGTGTCTATCCTGGTTGAGGCTGCTACATGCCTCGTCTCAGTGTTTTAGCTCACCCCATTATAGACATGATTAACGGATTCATCTCATTATTCTCTTGGACCACTGAACATATGAGTTGACCTGATCTGATAGTAGGATAGATACAAAAAAAAAAACTTGTAAATGTTGCTTTATTCTTTTGATTTTTCTTTCCCTTCTGTCGCTTTTCCATATGTGGATAAGTGGATATGTAAGACTGAAAATGCATATTCAAAGAAGATGAGCTTGTATGATAATTACTGAATTTCTTTTCTGTAATTCATGCAACATCGATCTCTCTGTGTTACTGAATTTCTATACTAGATGGATAAGAATAGTGTCCTTTTCAACTCCTTCTACTGTGTCATTTGGAGCATTTTCTAAGAATATTAAGACAACTTTTCAAGTAATTATTACAAACTAGCAACATTTTATCATGGACAGAATTGTAAAACAAAAAAAAAGACATTTTATCTGGATGGCACCTTAATTTTTGTATGTTTTACGACATATTCGGTTAATAACTGGCTCTGCCTTGTGCACGATAGAGCAAGCTACGGTTTAAGGATACTACAGTAGCCTTTGCAACTTGGCCTGTTTGCTTTTCTCAGACATGAACTTGACAGTGATAAAATTTCCATGTTTTTGGAGGTGCATTCATAGATAAGATTGATATGATTGACAAGTCAGTTTGGCATGGGATGTTTATAATTCAATTTTAATTAAATTAATTGATCAATTAATTATGATCGAATATCAAAAATAATTTTAAAAAATTTTAATTTTTGATTAATTCGATTTCAAACTAAATTAATCTAAATTTTAATCAAAATATTATAAAATTTATATAAAACTAAAAATATATAAATTATCCATTTCATTTTAAGTTATTAGAGTTTTTAATTTAATATTTTAATATTTAAATTTTTTTGTTGAATGATTTTATTTAATTTATTTAACATATAAATAATAAATAATAAATGATTTAATTTAATATATTTTATTATTTGATTAATTAAAAAATTAATTAAATTGATCGAATTAATTTTGATCAATTAATTTTTGAAATTAAAAAATTCAGTACATTAATGAAAATACAATAATATAATAAGAAATCATTAGGGCTTTGGTTAAAGCCCAATAAAAAAGAATTATGGGCTGAAACACGGCCCAATTATAAAATTAACAGGCTCTTTCACTCCAATCCAAACAGTCTTAATAATATAACATTGGTCTTCTCCAAGCGGAGATTTTTCCAGGAAAAGAAAAATCCCCAATTAAAAACTCTTTCAATTACAACCCACTTGGATTGTCGGTCATTGACGGTTACAAATTTTCGCTGTAAAAGAAAGTTTGGGTAAAAAAAAAATGGCTTTGACGAACTTCATATTAACAGTGGCGGGCGTTAGCGCGGTGGTTCTTTTACTGAGAAGCGATGTTAAACAATCGGCTGCGATCTTTAGGCGCAACGTTAAGCATATAAGGAATTGGCTTGAAGAAGAATCTTCTGCTGCTTCCAAGTAAGCCTTTTGCTTTACCGTATGTTTTTTTTTTTTTTTTGTTAATTAATGTTAAACTTTTTATTTAAGCTCAAAGTTGTAATTTTTAAAACGTTTTTAGGGTTTTAATGTGAATTATAGCAGCTTAAGCAATGTTGATTTTTGTATGATGAGAGAAGATGATTTTTATTAGAATTTTGATGAGTCTCTGGAATGATTGGTTTTAAGCTTTTTGATAGTCTTGATTGAAAACCCAGAAGGGAAACACAAATAGTAGGCTCCAAAAATGAGGCAATTTGAAGGGCTTTTTCATTGATGTTGCAAAGCAAAGCATAAGATATAACTTGTAATGTGATATTGGAATTGTTGCTTTTTTATGTATATTCCAGAGGATATAGCATGAGAATTAGTCCTGATAATTCGTGTATTCGTGTTGTGTAAAATATTGAAATCTGTGTATTCGTATCTTGTTTTGTACGAAAGTTTGTTGTTACAATTCGTGTTGATATGAAAATGTAAAATACTTTTTTTTTATTTTGTTAAATTCATATATAGTTATTGCTAAAATTTTAAGCTAAGTTGCCTTCGTGTCTTATTTTCGTATCGTGTTGTATCACCATGTCATGTTTTAGATTGCCATGTCTCATTGAGAATGAAACATTTAGAAATAGAATTATATTGCCAGATTGTTTCAGTGATCTTTGGAACTCTGCTATAGATGGTCTTCTGGTTTCATTTATAGTTAAGTCTTTTATTTTGGTTCTATTTTTGAAGTTAAACTGCAGTGTACATTCTATCCCTTGTCGTGACTGAACTAAATTGCCTAGGAATTAAGTTCTGCTTTAATTTTTAAAAAGCATATAGTTTTTTTTAATTTTTGTTAAACTCATATATGGTTTTTGCTAAAATTTTAAGCTAAGTTGCCTTCATGTCTTATTTTCGTATCATGTTGTATCACCATGTCTTGTTTTAGATTGCCATGTCTCATTGAGAATGAAACATTTAGAAATAGAATTATATTGCCAGATTGTTTCAGTGATCTTTGGAACTCTGCTATAGATGGTCTTCTGGTTTCATTTATAGTTAAGTCTTTTATTTTGGTTCTATTTTTGAAGTTAAACTGCAGTGAACATTCTATCCCTTGTCGTGAATGAACTAAATTGCCTAGAAATTAAGTTCTGCTTTAATTTTTGAAAAGCAGATAGTTTTTTAAAATTTTTGTCATAAGGCCAGCACCATAGTTTTGTGGTTTGATTCCGTGACTGTCTAACAGTTTTCATGTAATGCTGTGGTGTATATCATGAAGCACACTCTTGTCACGGATTTGGTGTAAACACAATGATTTCATTAATCCCATTGCTTCATAACAGTTAGCACCAGTTCTTCTCTCCTCGTTTAATCATATTATTTCTGATGTTTATTACAGTGTTTGTGAAACTAACATACACATCCCCATTACATTACCATGATTATGCTCATGTAGAAAGCAGCTAAAAGTAGCTGTTGCATGAAACTTGGATATAACTGCATGGCCATAGGAAGATTTTTTTGGGGATAAGTTGAATTTTATTTATCCAAAGCAAGCAGAAATCTGCTACGGCACAACTATTCCAATTTACAAAACAATGACATTGTGTTAGCAGCCTATTCTAGAATAGCTACATTAAGGTTTCAGTCATCACACAATTGCTTGTTTACCATATCACCTGCAATCTGCCTTAAACCATGCAACCTTTATCTGACAACTTACTTGATTCTTCCCACCACCTGTCTTGTTTTCTCCTCTGTATGTTTGAACAGCCGTTGATTTCTTCCCTCCATAGCAAATATATGCAAGCAATCCAAGCTATGCGTAATATAATGAAAACCAAAGCTTTTCCCTTCATCCTGCTCAATGCCCACGTCAGCTCAGCTTCCCAGTTCCCTATTCTTCTGTGAATTCTGCATAACTGAAGTACCATATGCCAAACTCCTTTAGTGTAAGCACAGTTGAAATACGCATGATCCCTGCATTCATCCGCACTTTGACAGAGGCAGCACCTGCTGTCTATCTCCATTCCCCAAGACCTTAGTCTGTCCTTCGTTGGGAGTCTATTCAAGATGGTCATAGGAAGATTGCTGATCACTGTTAACCTTAGTAAGTTTTCAGAAAAATGTGATTGCAGTATTGGTGAATCGGTAAATCACTTCACTTAAAAACCTACTTTTATCTAAATTGTGCTTTCTACTCTTCAAATTTTTTTGTATATGCTGTCCGTATCTGTCCCCAACATTTTGTTGCAAATGGTTCTTATACAACACAAAGCTTATTTCTCACTTTGATGATCTTCTTTCAGGGCAGCTGAGAAGGTAAAGCCCAAGGAACTGGAGTCCAAGGTTCCTCCCAAGGAGAAGGACTAATGTCTTTATGGCAAGTTTGGGGTTATTTATGATAATTTGCGATTATCAGGTTTGAATATCTCGGTTGCTATTTAGAATAAACCGTGGAAAATGTGTGGGTATTTCTGCACTTTGAAACTGCTTGATTTTGTTGTCTCTCCTTTTTCCATTTGTTAATACACTGAGCTGTATTTACTTACAAGGTAATACTTTTGAGAAATGTCAATTTTATTTGGATCAGCATATTTCTCTGTAAAAAAAAAAAATGAAAAAAAGAGGAAATATTCAGTTTGCAGATCTTTTAAATTCTTTGATGCTGATGTTCCTCACATTGTCGAAATAATTGTCATAATTTTTCCATAAAAAAATATTTAAGGGATTATTTGACAGTCTGATCGTGATATTACAGCTCAAAGAAGACATTGTCATCATAATACGAAGTTATGTCAAGGCAATTAATGCCTACTCTTATAGGGAAAATAATCGATCAGATGTTTTGGGAGAACCTGGCACTATGGCATAAAACAATTCAGTTCTGGTTGTCTAGCTATTCAGTTGGGAGCATTTAGATGTAATCCACGCCTGGTTGTCTAGCAAGCCATTGGACCAAGCTTGAAGGACTGTATTGCCACTGCCAGCTGCGTTGACTTGGTTTCCGTCAGGGATCAGAGTCGAACTTAAAGGCTCACTCATATCACTAAGAGAACTAGAGACACGTGCTATTGAATGGATCGTGTGACTGGATTGAGATAAGTGGTGACAGGAGAGAGCACGACAGGAATCGATGGATCCTGTTATACCTTTGGCTTGCATCTTATGGCTACCTCTTCCAACTTCTGATGAGATAAGGGCATTGGCAAGTCGTCGACAAACAGAAACCACAGGGATTACTTGGTCGATCCCTTCACGGTCATTGGTAAGCAGGACAAAAAATTCTCTATCCTCTCCACGATTGATACAAGCCAAAGGATTTGGAGAACTTAATCGTGGATCAACAAGATCAAAGTGTTCATAACTATTATAGACCATTGCAATCGTTGTATACATCTGTTGATCACTGAATTGTAAGATTTTGCTACCCAAAATTGATTCTGCAAATCACGTACAGAAACGGATATGAAAATAGCAGCAGGGTAATTATAGATAAACTTACTAAAAATCTTTGAAGCAAGAAGTAGAAAGGCTATATATAAATCCAAGCCTAATTGATTGGACAGAAATCTACCAGGACTCTCGTGCAAAGATTTTGGCCGAGATTTTCTTCGGCGCCTGTTGTGTCCTTCAAGACGTTTCCTGCAGCTCCTTTTCTCCTCATCAAACTCTCCAAGAGCGGGAAATCTACCAAATTGAATTAAGTGAAGTCAAGACTCCTAGCAAAAAATACAGACAGGCAGCCGAATTCCTCCTTACTACCAGCAAACTCCACACTTATCTGCTGCCTTGCTGAAAGAACCTTTTCTCTTCACCCTCGACGATGACAACTGGGTCCTTGGAGTGGTGCTCACAGACCCTATGGTGCCTATAATATTCCCGGTCTTTTCCAAGATCAGATTTGCAGTCATCAACCAAGCGTGACATTTTCTGATTTTGGTTTGCCACAGAAGACCTCTTCAATGACCCTGAAGTTGACGACTCTATTTTTAAGGTCCTTTGTTCTTACTCTTATTCGGTGACTTGACTCTAAAATTCTTTGCTCTTCCAACTGCACACGCACATGTAATAAGGGTGCAACACTATACAAATATGATTACACGACAATTTTTAAAAAATAGGATACATGTACGATAAGATGTGATAATAAAAATTATTTTTATATTTTGTACTCATTAGGTAAAATATATGATAGATATTGGATTAATTGTTAAAAGATACTTATTTTTGTCAAAAAAACTAATAATAGACATTGTAAAAAACATATCATATCATTATTTATACGAAAAATTATTTTTTTTCTTTTTTTATTGTATCTTATTAAATTCAACACGTATTTAAATGTATTGTAAGTGTCAAAATATAAAATAAAAATATAAAACATAAATACGACACCAATGCACCAAAAGCTGAGAAGTATTTGTATTTGTGCTTCATAGTCCACCAAGCTTCAAGTTTACTGAAAATCCTTTATCCTCCAGCTGAGATAAACGCAAAGCTGACTCTTCATAGTCTAAATCCATATCACCCTTTTCTTTAAACTTCTGCAGTGTATTTAATTAGTCTCCTCCTATTCCAATAAACCTAAAAGAGAAACAGCAACGCAAACGCCACAAATTATCTTCAATTAAGGCCCTCACCATATCCGAAAAACCCCAAGATTCTAATTAAAATTGGCCAAAAAGAAAACGAAAAAGATTAAGGAATGAAAACAGGTGACAGGAAATTCAGATTGCAGTGACTGAGTAGAGCTCACTTTGTATTAAATTGTAAAAATAGAACTTCAAACGATAAAAAAGGAGTTACAAATGTCAGAAAAAAAGATCCATATTGAGAATTATTTTCTTCTTTCCATTTTCCTGCATTTCTCCCAATTTTCCATTGTTTGACACTTAAGAAGCTAAATTATTGTGGACTGTTGTTGTGTGTGTGGGGCATATAAAGAAAACAAGCCAAAGTTAGGAAGAGCTGCGGAATAGATAGAGAGAGAAAGAAAGCAAAGTGTATTAAAGAAAGTGACAGGTATTCTTGATTTCAACAATTCTCCTTTGAATTAATCACTGGCAATAATTGAAGGTAGAGGAAGCAGCCAGGTAGCTAATCATCTTTGGCTGCTTTATTTTATGCTTCAGAATCCTGGACAGGGCTCCATTCGATTCCCATCTGTGATGAATCATAGAAATGAGATATAAAAAACTAATAAAAATAATCTAAAGAATAATGTGCACCATCTTTTCACGTTGGAATCGTCACTCCCGCACTTATTGCTATATGAATTTCTTACTAGGAATTTGTCATTAGTGATTATGATTTTTAATAGTATTAAAATTGGTGGCAAATAGATATACTTTCCTTTGTTCCTAACCAACTGCAAAAGGAAGAAAGGTGGAATTAATTTTGCTGCCTACTAAGGAACATTCGACAATGTTCCCAAAACATTTTAATAATTCTTATTCAAAAAGCCCCAAAAAAGGAATTTCAAGAAAGAGTCCAAAGAAAAACTAAAGAACTACAGAAACAGTTGCGCTAGAGGCGAATCTAAAGGGGGAGACATGGGTCGTGGTCTCCTCCAAACATTTTTTTACATCATTATAATATTGCAATTCAATCTATTTAAATTCAGTATCGGTTCTTCCCTTTTCATTAACTACATGGTTTGATCCCTTTGTGTCTTATGTCCAGCTTCGTTAGTTGGCATCATGTAATTAGAGAGACAGTCCTGTAAATGATATTCTAGTAATAAATTGGTAATATTTTAGATTAATAATATTATTATAGTAATATTTTAAATTAATTTTATATTAATTTAAAAAATATTAGATATTGATTAGGTGATTATAAGAATTGATTTAATCATTATTTTTATTTTTTATATTTTTTATTTTATAATATTTTATCTTTGTATAAATCAACTTTAAACCTCATTGTAAAACACAAGTCACTACAATAAAATTTTTATCATTTTCTTTTTTTTTTTATGGTATCAGAGAGATTTTATGGTTCATTCCGAAGGTGAATCGCCTTGAAATAACTAATATTTGTTTATTTTCATCCTTGATGGCAAGTATTCAATGAGAAAATATACAACTAATTTCAATTATCTTTGACAGAAATAATTACAATAAGTGGGCTATAACTATACATAATTATCTAAAAGGAATGAAATTATTGCTTGTTGTTACCTAAGAATGCAAAGCACTAGAAAGAAAAGAAGAAGAATTCAATAATAAAGTTGCAGATCGGTTAGAGAAATAAAAAAGTAAGAATCATTGAATTTTGACATAGTTCATTAACACCATTATTCTTCCTATCAATGTACATTTTAAGCAATTTGAACTTGCTAAAGATACTTGGGTTTTTCTTAACACACGGTACAGCTTTACTATTTTTGCTCATTAATATCATATTTTGATCACTTTATCTCACATTTATCAAGAACCAGGTCAATCAATTGATGATTTTCATTTTAGAATGCAACATTTATGGGATATGCTTGAAAATTTTGAGTCAGAATTCAAGGATGAAAATGATGCTAGTAATTTTATTACTTATCGAAATCAAATTCATCTTATTCAATTTCTAATGGCACTTCAAGATGAATTTGAGAATATCAAGTCTTCACTTTTGCACCGACATCCCCTACTAACTATGGATAATGCCCTTATAGGTATGAGTCAGACTTATAATGTTGATACTATTGTTGCTGCTACTCCTCATAAAAGTATTAGCTATACTTTCCACAAGTCTTGTTCATAATATGGGAGGACTAATCATCCTATTTAGAAATATAGAGCTAAATATCATCATAATGATAGTCTAATTCATGATCATCGTACTGACAAGATTGATGCGACAATAATCACTAAACTAAACATTTTTTAGTCTTCTTCTGAGATCATTACAATCTCTACCATTGATCTTCAAACTTTGTTCAATTAAGTATTATCTCGATCTTATGTTTTTGCCGTCTGCTGCTACATGAAATAATATTTGGTGTTTGATACTGCTTGTGAAAATTATATGATTGTTGATCCTTCTTTGCTCAAAAGCAAGATACCTATACCTAATGATCCAATTATTAAAGCAGCAAATGGATTTTAAAAGCTAGCCATATTGGTAATATTGAAACCTTAAAACTATGTATATTTGACACTTACCTTGTTCCTAATTTTGTCTTAAATTTGCTTTCTATTGGCCAACTTTGTGACCTTGGTCTTGATTTACATTTTTCACAACGATATGACTGTATTATGTAGAATTCTCAAATAGGTCAAAAAGTTGGGACAGGGTGTAAGGTTGGAACACTATTTAAGCTTGAAACTTTGAAAATTTCACAACAATTGATTACTACTGCTACATCTCAAACAACCAACTCTTTAGTTTCTTTAGATTTACGGCATTCTAGGCTAGGACATGCATCTATTTCTAGAATAAGTCACTTTTTTTCACTAGTATCTTAGGTAATATTTCTCATAATATTTTTTATTGTTTGTCTTGTCAACTTGGAAAGTAAAGTGCTTTACCTTTTAATAAAAGTGATTTTATATTATTTGCCTTTTGATTTAGTTTATTCTAATATTTTGGGGTCAACTCCCACACTAACTTTAAAAGGTTCACATTACTTTGTTATATTTATTGATGATTTTTCTTGTTATACTTGGATATATTTATTCAAACAAAGAACTGAACTTTTATCAATTTTTTGTGAATTCAATAACATGGTACAAACTCAAATTTAAAAAAATAAATAAAAATCTTCAGGTCTAACATTGCTACTGAATATACAGAAGTTGAGTTTCATAACTTGTTAAAAAATGATAAGGTTATTCCTCATAGGTCTTGCCTATATACTTCACAACAAAATGGTCGAGCTAAAAGAAAACATCATCATATTCTTGACACAATTCATGCCATTTTTTCATTTTCTCTTCTCTTTTTGAACATTTTTTGAGTGAAGCTACTTTCACTGCTATTTATACTATTAATTGTGTTCTTATACCAGTGTTAGGCATATGATTTCTCTATGAGTGTTTATACAATAAGGTACCTGATTACCATTCTCTCAAAATTTTTATATGTGCTTGCTTTATTCTACTTCCTATTCACGAAAGGACTAAACTTAAACCTAGAGCTAGATTGTATTGTTTTTTTTGTTAAGGTATAGACAACAAGAGGTATAAGTGTTATGATCCGATGTCTAAACGTCTTCGCATCTCAAGACATGTAGTTTTTAGGAACATAAAAAGTTCACTAATGTGTTCTCATTATATTCACAATGTTATTCTCTATGTATTTTTACGTATTCATCTTTTGATTTTTTTTCAAATGAGGAGACTATTATAAGTACTTTTGACTTAAATAAGGGTGTAATCGAGCCAAGTCGAGTCGATATAATGAGAAGCTCGAGCTTAAGCTCGACTCACAACTCGTGACTCGATACTCGACTCGAACTCGATCGAGTTTTATTCTTCAAGCTCGAGCTCGATTCGTGATCGAATTCGAGCTACTCGATTAAGCTCGATTAATATGTAAAAATAAGCTCGATTTGTATACTCGATAAGAGTTCAATTATTTATGCTCGAGCTCGAACTCGAATTCAAAATATTTTATTAATTAAAATAATAAAAATATATTTAAATATAAAAGCTCGATTAAGCTCGCGAGCTGCTCGAGCCAAATATAAGAATACTCGAATTCGGTTCGATCGATAAGCTGAGCTACTTGAGCTTGAGCTCAACTCGATAATAATCGAATCGAATTAGAGTTTTCTTCGAATCGAACCCGAGTAGCTTGCGAGTACTAATGTATCATTTACACCCGTAGACTCAAATAATGATCCATCTTCTTCCACTCCTACTATGTTTGATTTTACCAAGGCTTTTATTCATACAGTTGTTCCTTCACCATACATAACGCTTTCACTTTGTCGTTCTACCCAAGTAAAGGAACCCAACACTCAACATTATGATTTTCACTATTATTATGCTTTAGCCACATTACATGAACCTCACAATTTTTGTGAAGCTATCTCTAATCCTATGTGACAGCAAGCAATGACAAAAAAGCTTCAGACTCTTAAAAAAACTCATGCTTGAGATGTTATTGAATGACCTTCTGATAATTCAGTGATTGATTGTAAATGGATCTACAAGATTAAGACTCAATCTGATGGGTCAGTGGAACATTACAAAACTCGTCTGGTTGCTCAAGGATTTACATAAGAATATGGCATTGACTATGAAGAAACTTTTACCTCAATTGCACGTCTCATATCTGTTCATTCACTATTAATTGTTGCTATAGCTAGAAAGTGGCCAACCTTTCAAATTGATGTTAAAAATACCTTCTTGAATGGTGATCTTGTCAAGAAAATCTATATGAAGGCACCTCTTAGTTCGTATATACCTTACAACATGGTCTGTCATCTTCAATGTGCTCTATATGGTCTTAAGCAAGCCCCTAGAGCTTGGTTCTTAAAATATCGTATCACTGTTACATAACTTGATTTTACATATAGTAATCATGATTATGTTTTTTTTATTCAAACTACTGAAAATAGTACTATTCTTATTTTACTTTATGTGGATGACATGATCATTACGGGTAATGATGCAAATAGTATTCAAGATCTGAAGATTTTTCTTCATTGTAAGTTTAAAATGAAATATCTTAGTCCTTTGAGTTATTTTTTTGGGCCTTAAAGTTACTAATAAGTTATTGTTTTAGACCTTAAAGTTATTGATGATTCTACTAGCTTATATTTGTCTCAAACAAAGTATACTTCTGATTTTATTGCTCCAACAGGTTTAACTAATAGTAGGATTGCATTATCATCACTTCAATAAAATTTGAAGCTTTCTTCTTCTGATGCTATACCACTTCCAAATCCTTCTTTGTATTCGAATTATAGTAGGTAGTCTCGTATACTTGACAGTTACTCATCTAGATATTGCCTATGCTATTCATTTGATTAGTCAATTTTTGCTTACTTCTCAATCTACTCATTTTGCTACTGTCTTTTGGGTTCTACGATATGTCAAAGGTACTATGTTTCATGGTTTGCATTTTCCCTCTAATTTCTCTTTAGACTTGTATTGTTATTGTGATGTTAATTAGGTAAGAGATCCTACTGATTATCATTTTACCATAGGCCATTGTTTCTTTCTTGGTTCTTGTCTTATTTCTTAATGAAATAAAAACACAAATTATGGTGTCCTACTCTAACATTAAAGCTGAGTTTCGAGCTCTTGCAAATGCCACATCAGAACTTCTATGGTTACGATGGCTACTTCAAGATACGGGTGTTTCTCATCACTCTAGTACTCCTATATTTTGTGATAATCAAAATGGCATTCAGATAGCTCATAATGATATTTTTCATGAATGCACTAAACATATTGAAATTAATTGTCACTTCATTCATCACCATCTGCTAGCTCAAACTCTTCAACTTATTCTAGTTACCAATGCTAATCAAAAAGCAAAAATCTTCATCAAATCACATCCACCTGGTCAATTTTTTATCCAAGTTTTTAAAGTTAAATTGGCCTTTACATTATTATCTTGAGTTTGTGAAGGATGTCAATGATAATCTAGTAATATTTAAGTAATATTCTATATTGATAATATTATTCTAGTAATATCCTAGTAATATTCTATATTGATTTGATATTGATTTAAAGAATATTAAATATTGATTTGATATTGATTTAGAGAATATTAGATATTGATTAGGTGATTATAGAAATTGATTTAGTTATTATTTCTATTTATTAAATTTTTTATTTTCTAACATTTTACTTCTGTATAAATAAGCTTTAAGTCTCGTTATAAAACACAAGTCATTACAATAGAATTTTCATCATTTTTTTCTTTTTCAAGTCCAACCTATCCCCATCAGGTTTCAATTGGACCTTATAGGGTCCTTATTTTTTAAAATCAGATTTTGGGTTAGATAATAGTTCAAAAAAAGTTAAGGTCGAGTCGAGATCGAATTTTAGGCAAACCCACCCTATCACGATCCGGTATATATATATTTATTTTTTAATTATTTATTTAATTTTATATTTTTATATATTATTTTTATATTTGTTTAATTGTATATTTACATTTAAAAATAATATTTTATATTTATAAAATAATTTTTATATTAAAAATAATATTTTATTAATTCAAGTTGAGTTAGACAGGATATAATTTTATACAATATCAAATTAGGTCAAGTCGAGTATTAAAAAAATAAAAAATTTATCAAATCAGGCTTAGATTTAGATATTATAGATAAAAAATCAAATTGAACTCGAAAAATCCATCTCAACCCGACTCATTGTTATCCCTACTTGTAACACCACATAAACATATGGCGTGACCAAAAACGACAAATCTCATGGACACTTAGGCATTTTTCTTTCCATTTTCAAGCACACACATTGCCATGTAGCCGAAAAGATGTTGGGTGGTTTCACACAGTATAGTATGATGATTTGCTCCTTAAAACGCACAAATTATTTGGTTTATTTTTTTTTGGGATTTCTTTTTGTGTTTATATATGCTCATTTTGAACGCATAAGATAATTATTCTCTAGATTGAAGCAGACTGAAATTTTAGCTTCTAAACAGTTGTGAGCTGCAAATAAAAGAAGGCAAAAAGTGTAAAAACGATGAATAAAAATTGCCTCAAGAATATGATTAATTCTTTAACATTGCAAATACACAAGGTCTAAATATGTCCTACCATTAATTACCTCCAAAAATGAGGTTTCAGGTTTGAATTTCCCTCCCATTTCCTAACTAATTAAGCATAAGAAAAGGAAAAAAAAAAACACCTTTACTAAGATTGAAACTTTTTTTGTTACAAAGGAAATCATAATCAAAAGATAAGGAAAGGAATCATAAGTGATGAGTTTTAAATCTCATACCTACTAAACAACATATTTTAAAAGTGACTACATGTACCAACAGAAATAAATTACGGGTTTTACAACTATTATTTCATATGGAAGGATTGAATTCAAGATTCGTATGTCTTTACTAAGGCATACATCATTTCATCTAGCTCTATATATATGCATGGATGGATGATGATGGGCTTCAAAAAGGGGTGTAAATATGCATCTGACTCAAGATGTGTTCAAAATTGTCAGTTGCCTTCTCTATTTGATGAGAGTGCATCCCTTCATAAGTAGTCATAACGACACTTTCATCTTTGGTTAGACGTTGGACTTGCTTCTTTACATTGCATCCTTGATGTGTGCATCGGTAGTAGCTTCTGTTACATGCAAAATTATACTGTTAGCTGAGCTCAAACCAGGCAATATGCTTTTGATTGATTCAGAAATCAGAATTGGAAGACAAATTACAAAGGATAGATGGAGGTCCCCTGAATATTTCTAAGATCAAAGTATCCGACATCTTGTCTATTGGAATCAAGAGGAATAGTTTGGAATTAGAATTTGCTTTGAATGACCCTATAAACACATTTGACAACTACTATAAAAAGCAATGCTGTGTTCATAGAGGCTTTAGGAAATTCTTGCATTGCTAGCTACATGATTCTTCTAATCTTTTATGAGGAATTATTGGGAGAGAGAAAAAAAAAAACCCTAGACGAAAATTTGTACAGAAAATTATGATTTACGGTATTTGTTTTGTATCCATGCTTTGTAAGGGTAGTGCATGCATGCTGAAAATGGTTCCTAAGTCTGAAAAGAACAATTGCACCAATTCTTATCTTATCTTCTCAGCTAAGTGGGACATGTTTACTGTGAAAGGATATGATATGGATAACAATGGTAGGTTCTGTTCGAAATATTTTTCGCCAAAATATACCAACTATGATATGCATCAAGATCATCATCACGCTTGGAATTGGGGGGAAATGCAAAAAAAATTATCTAGCAAAGGAGCTAAGCTGAGGATATAAGTCAATACAAACCTTGGAAATTTGTTGCTCTTAACAGCTTTTTGCCCATATTTCCTCCAACGATATCCATCGTCAAGTATATCAACCTGACTCCTTGTTTGAAAAGCATATCTGTGTTTCCTAATCTTCTTTTCCTGTTTTTTACCTGATTTCATCTCAGTTTCAGACCCAACAAATTTCCCAATCTGAACAAGTTCTTTAACTCCTGGTTTCTGGACAAAATTTTCTGCAGTCTTCAAACCCAAGAAACCATTTGAGCCATCCCCATGAAAATTGTTAAAAACTTGAGAATTATTAGGTGCCATGTTTGTTGGCAGATGATACGCTTCTGCTGCTGCTGCTGGGGATGATGAGATAGGAAAGAACATTTGATAATTCTCCATTATTAGAACCAAGCCAGTACTTATAAGTAAGACGATCAAATAAAGTCAACAGAAAAAGAAGAGGAGGCTGGCTTGCAGGCTAAAAAGTTAGACAACTATGTGGAAAGATCAAAAATATAAAGCATATTTATAGTGTTAAAGGTGCCGTAGACGGCACGAAAGTTTTTCCAAGGCAAAGAAACTAAAGCTTCAATAGGAAAAAGTATGGTGGAAATATTGGGGCGGCTTCATCATTAGGAAAAAGATTATATTTTTCATAATAAAATTTAGTCAAAAAATTAGCAAATTAAGAATATTATTATAATTCTTTTGCCATAAAATTAAATAAATCTTTCATTTGGGTTATCGTAGACTAACAGCAGTCTCATTTGGACTGACTCATTTCACACGTGTTTGAATGAATTTTATTTATTGCAGATTTAGTATTATTTTTTTTGTCTCGTCGGTACAAGTCGTTTTAGTGCATTTGTGACTGCGCCTCCTCCTCAGTTTCCATGAAGGATCATCAAAATTAATTACAAATAGCTCACATGGTTTAATGTATCTTGGCCTGTATATTCAAGTTGGGGGCTATTTTTTATATTTGAGATCCTTAAAATTGCTAAAGGTTTTGTATAGATTTAGTAATTTTGATCACAATTCGATGATTTAATAAAAAAATAAAATTGATAAAATTTAAAGTTTTAATAAAATTTATATATTGATTTAATAAAAATTAAATATATATTTTATATTTAACATGTTAATACAAATTATAACAAAATAATTATTCATATATTAAATATGAAATAAATATATATGAATGCATAAATCGACAAGGGTGATTTTACAACACAAGTCACTGCCACTTTTAAAAAAGTTTTCTCAACCCAAGTGAAATTGTCAAGAAAAAAAAAGTGCAAATTAAAGAAAAAGTCAAGAAACAGCGTTTGGGCGTGAAGTTGGAAAGAAAATGGACATAGAATGAAGAAATGAGAGGTTAATAATTATAATCGATCATAATGAGGCAGATAAATTTCTGGTAGGTCTGCGACTAGCCAGCCAAAATATTCTTCATAAATTAGAAAAGCAAAGCTGATTTTAATTGTTAACGAGTGATTAACTTAATTTGTTAAAATTTTTTTTTTTTATAGAAGGATTTTGTGTTTGAGTCCTTTCGATAATTATTTGTTAAAATTATTTTAAATATATTATTTTTAATCATTTATCTTAAAATTTGAGGTACGATATATTTTATTTTTATTTGAGAGATTGAATAATTTATTTATCTTAAATTTTTTTCTTAAAAAAAAATGCTGATTTTAATTTCTTAAATGTCGAAAACATTGAAAATGAAACATAATTTGTCATGTTGGATTATTCAACCCATGTTTGAAACGTCAAATACTCACACATAACCACAACCACAACTTTATGTTAGTTGGCAAGAGACCAATTGTCGGCTTAAATCTTTCCCTTTCCAATATATATCACTTCTTCACCAAATTTGCACCAAATCCTACCTCAGAAATTAGGAAAAATGTTTATTTTCCTCCAAACACTATATGGTATTTTTTTCAAGAGAAAATTTACTGCAAATCAATAGGTTAATTCTTTTGTGGAGAAGCTATTACTAAGTGGGGTAAGTTAATTCAATGCGGTGTAGTTGAACTCACTACATTATTAATTGAATTCAAATATCAACTCTAATGAAATTCATTTAATATAAATTCATTTATAAAATTTTTTAATCACAAATATAATAATTTATTTTTTTAATCACAATCACAATAATTTTTATTATTATTTTTAATTTCATCAGAGCTAATCTTACCATTCGTTCAAATAGACCCTTACATGATCCATATATACATATAAAACTCTTTATTTCAAGATTGAGTATATTTAATTCACTTAGTTAGGACGATAACCATATATATTTGTTAAAATGACAACAATTAAAGGAGATATGTGATCATGTTATTAAAGAAAAAGATTATTAGTGAAGAAAATTATTTTACTTAATTATTGGGAGAAAAGAAAAAATTCTAAATTTTGGGATACTTAAAATAAAAGAAATTAACAAATAAGCTGCACTCTATATTTATATATATGATATGAAGCAACAAAGAAAAAGTTGAATTTGAATCTTATTCTTATTCTTGTATTGACAAATTTTCAAAAGATGAAAGAGAGGTTGAACTAAAACAATATCTATAACAATATTTATCGAGACTTTAAAAGTTTAAAAATTAAGGAAAATCTACAATCATTTAATATCAATACACGTGAACGAATAACGATAAATTTAAATTTAATTTGTTTTCATTGCTTTGGAATATGCCTATCTAATTAAATATCGTAATATCAAATTTTAAAATTGAATATATCATGTAAATTTTCAGAATGAAAACGATAAATCATTTTAGTCAAATAAAGAAATTCAAAAATGACAAAGTCTTCATACTAAAGAAACAAACAATGAATTTGAGTTCGAGAGTATGTGAAAATTGTTAGTAATTTGAATTGTTTGAAGATTTTTTAAATTTAATAAAGGGTCAAGTGAAAACCACCAAGTTAAAATGATTTAACTAACCACTCAACTAAACAGATGGTTTAGGTTTAAGTGGGTTTGAATTCTCTCCATTCTTGTAACTTTTAACCAAAAATAAAGAAATTAAAGGAGAGTTTAACACTAGATATTATATATATATATATATATATATATATTTGTAGTGAACTTAGTACAGACTACAGCAATATTAATATTAAGACTTAGTAAATGCATGGCTTAGAAATCTTGGCTTTGTTTTGTCTCTTTGATTATTGATTTCTACTTTCTAATTTCTATGAATATTATACAAAATCTTGGACTGGCTATTTCTAGAAGGCAACTTGTACGAACGTGCATGAACATTGAATTTTAGTTTTTTCCAAACAAGGAAAGTTCAATAAAGGGAGGAAACGCGTGTTCAACAAAAAAACTATGAATTTTTTTTTGAATTTAGAGACTTCAAGAAAGTTTTTGATGAAGAATATATAGTTTCATAATATATATATATATATATATTGATTTAAATGCAAGTTTGGCATACAAAAGATGAATTGATAGGCCAAAATGGGTATAAATATATTTATATAATTTTAAGGAGAAATGTACGAGAAAATTAAGGGAATGAGTGTAAATATATAGCTAATCAATATATCTAACTAATTTTTTTCAATTTTATTTAAATTATAATTTAATTTAAATTATTTAGAAAAGATTGTGCTCCTTCGTATTGCATTTCTAAATCTTTAAATTAGAAAAAAGAAATCAGAACTTTGCTTAGGTTTCATTTCATCTTCTTATGAACAAAGTTAATAATCTTATGTCAAGTTATTTTATGGGAAGCAAAACTCTATTACTTTCTTTTGATAATTGGGTAGGAAGGATTCGAAAACTATGAAGTTGTGGAATTTTTAAAAGTCTATTATCTTGGCCACTTCCTAATAAATTTAAAGCATTTTGGTATTAACAAAGTTGAGTTGTTATCAAAGTCAGATCCAGAATTTTTTTTTTCTCGAATATTCACTTATAATATATATAAACACTGTTAATGAACAGAGATTTAAATTGATTTGTGTTTATTATTTAATCTTATTCCGCCTTCATGATGTTGAAAACGCCATTAACCAATTTCAGCTGCACTTTAAGATCCAGTTCTGAACATTGCCAGAATGCTTATTTTGCTAACTGCTAACCACTTTCATGCATGCTTTTAGTGGTATGATACCGACCATTGCATATCCTAATTTCTACACAGATTTAGTGATCATCATGTATCTAATGAAGACAAATAGTATAAATATATATAGGCTAATTATTGATCTCAAGAAAATCTATGGCAGCAGCCATGGGTGAGTATCTGTCCACATCAAAGCCACCAGAGATGGAGTTAGGTTGAAGAACCTGCTAGGAAGGTGTGGACGGCTGCTGGCCCCCTCGGTAACTTTGTTACAACTTTTAAATATCATTCTCTTGCTGAATTACTTCAGCTGCTTGAATTTCCAAAGAGCATAGCCATGATATCTGCTTGTTAAATGTGATATTGATTCCCATCAACAAGGATGTTCAAAACGACAATGGCTAAGTTCATTCATGTATATAGCTTCATTTTTTCAATGCTTTGGAACCAAACTCTTGCATAATTGGTTTTGGTAGACCTAAGTTCGGAGGAAATGCTTTGTGTAAAGCACATAATTTTTATAATCATACCACAATCATGCGATTTGGAAGATTATTTACCTACTGCTTTCACTATAGTCGATGAGTAGATGACTGATCTTGACATGGTTAAATGCAGCACTAGCCTGTTTGCCTAACAATGCTTGAAATTGTGAAAGCATAATTATTGCCATGAATTTAATTCATAATCTGATTGACTTCATTGCCTGTTAACATAAAACTACAATTTGTAATCATTCTGAAGATTGAAATTTTTGCCCTCTTCATTTATGGCAAACTGGTAATCATATAAGTTAAAATTTGAAACTTTTTGAGAGAATGTGATGCTTGTTCTCTATAGCCAATGAACTTGTCATAAGTTCAGGGAAACGAATGAACTTACATTAGAATGATATTCACTTGTATTGGTCTTGAATTCCAAGAAGCAGCTGCCATTGTTGAATAAATATTAAACCATCTAGAAACTTGTCATGTTAAACAACAAAAAGGGGAAAATGAAGATTGATGAACTTTCAACCTACTACGTAATCTGGTAAATAAATGATTTAATTAATGGTGTGTAAATGGCTGTGCCTGCTGACTGCTGTCAACCACATATCATCAATTTATTGGCAAAACCGACTGCCAAAATTAATCAAGAACCTGTGCCTAAAATTGGCCTGTTTGATTCATCAGCCAAGAAACCTTTGCCTGATTACTTTAAGTCAAATACAGCGGTAATTCCGTCATTAAACATTGAAGAATCCATGTAAGGGAACTGAACAAATCATATTTAAACTTTAATGATGATTGGGTATTTGAAACAATCTTATATTAGGCAACAAAAAATTTTCCCCAAGGAAACAAATTTCAAAGTAGGAGCTATCTATAACAAATCCAAAAGCGAATTCTCATAGTTTATGGTCACATCTAAAGGGGGATTCACCACCCCTTTCCCAGTTCCCACCCACCACCTTACACAATAAAAACCAATCAATCAATTATGATTTAAACAATTATATTTGCTGCTGTTGGATGCATGTTTCTGAATCAGCATACTAGAAAGAGGAACTACATATATGATCGCATACGAGGCCTGACCATAGATTGTGCCCCATCAACGAATATAGTTGTTCCAGTCATATAGCGTGAACCATCACTGATTAAATAGATGATAGTTGAAGCCAGATCATTTTTAACATCCAACCATCTCTGCAATGGCACTGCTTCTTTCACCAACTTCTCTGCCTTGTCCTTTCCAACTGACAGAGGAAATTCATCTTGTAGGTGTAAACCACGAGCAATTGCGTTAACCCTGATCTTGTGTTTTCCAATCTCCAAAGCTGATACCTGATAACAGCAATGAAAGATGTCCAAAATAAAGAAAGCAACTTAAGAAAAACTATGAACCAGAAGATGGAAGTGGCAGGATGTTAAAAAGAAAAACCAGAAGTCATTCTATACTCCACAAAGGACAAACCATTATGGAACCGAAGCAACAGTAACAATGGATAAGATTACATTCTTTTGAAGAAAAATGTTCACCAAACCAAAAGCCACAAGGAAACATAGGCAAATCAGATTGGTTCAATATCCATTGTTATCTTTAGAATAGTTAACTATGGTAGCAAAATAGCAAATTGTGGCAGCTGAGTGTACATGCGTCAAAGACTACAAGGAAATAAGTTAAGGAATTTAATTACTTACTCTAACTAACTGCTGCACTGCTGCCAAAGATGAACCATATGCAGCAGCTCCTTGATAAAGTCCTCTTTCAGCACCGAGTATTGTTGTCACGAATACAATGGAACCACCTGATTTATGTTCCCGCATTCTCCTACCAACAGCTTTTAGCATAAACCATGCAGCCATAAAATTTATTTTTACGGTTTTTCTGAACTCTTCTTCAGTTAATTCCAGATGGTCTTGCATCTTTCCTGTTTCACATAATCAGACACATGGTTAGTTTTTCTGCAGTGATGTAATTGATACAAGTTGAAAGGAAAATGAGAAATATTTCCAGAGGGAAACTATGTGAGTTGGAGAATTTTTGGTGCTTTCCTTGACATAGACTACTAAAGGAAATAGCATCCATATTGGTAAAACAAATTTCATCAACTCCTAAATAATTTCAGCTTAATGTTTTCTTGCATAATGCAAAACATCAAGGATGAATTGCTTAACTTTCCTTGTAGATCACCATTAAAACTTTATATAATTTATGAAACAAAAGGAGACTGTCACACCAACCCAAATTTCACAACCTTTACAGAGTTACTCAAGCCAACATATCTCTTTCTTCACTTTATAAAACTGTTATAACTCAAATATATGTAACCATTTGTACACAAACCTTAGGCAAACTAGGAAGTAAATTAATAAAAGAGCACATGATGACCAAATTTTTCTGAAATAAATTTAGTGGCGTTTATAGCCGCTAAACAAAAAAAAAAATTGCAAAAAAACCAATTTCCTGTAGCAAAAGAATATCCTCTTCTTTATTACTAATACAAAAAGAGCACAGGTCTTGATGTGTCCCACTTAAAGCTATGTTCAAGGTTCCACTTTACTTCCTGCTATGCAATTTATAAACTTATGGTCCACATAATCTTTACACTGTAGTCAATCACTAATCAAAACCGTCTCTGAATAAAAAGTTGTTAGACATGTGACAATTTATTACCAATGCACCTTAAAGTTCTAGGCCACTTATCTTAGTTATAAATGTACTCCGGACAAATTTTGAGGTAGTTAGAGAAGTAGGTTGATGTTTTTAACAACTGTTTTAATGTTTGAAAATGACAGTTATCCCAAGAATCTCAAATTGCTAAAATTTTTACAAAGGTGGTTTGCCAGAAGATATGCAAATTGCCGTTTCATTGGTAAAACAACTAAAAAGCAATAGGCACAATATCCCACCACTACTCCATGTGTAAAATCTGGTTAAAATCAGAGATCTTGGATAGATAAAAGGCAGAAGTTCCAAATTGCCCCACTATCCTGGTGGATAACCAAAATTTGACGTTCTCTGGTACCAAAAAGACAAAGGAAATTGGCCACTTCAACTTTCAATGGAAAAAGAGAAAACAATAATTACAGCAGATCTACGTAGATATACCTTCATAAGCATAACAATTCACAAGAGCATCCAAAGATCCGAACACTTTCCATGCTTTATCTACTGCTTCATCAAAAGCTCCCTCTTTTTCATCTTCCATATCCATTCCAATCACCTCTACTGGGACCACATTATTTGTTGAATCCATTATCTTCTCTCTGACACTCCTCAGACAGCACTCATTTCCCATCAAAACCAACCTAATCACACAACAGGAAGATCATTCTTCAGTTAAACTTTTGCTCAATTGATCATCAAGAACGGTGTATATAATCAAATGGATTGGATTGAATCAGTAAAGTACAGTAAATTGAAAAGAATATTAAAAAAAAGGCCAAAAACTACAACTTTGGAAAATCTTCCATTTTTGTCTCTTATTTCTTTGCTTTTACTCTACTTTCTGATACATGAAAAGCAATGAGAAAAACAAAGACAGAGATGGCCAAGAATTTCCAAGATTCTTGTTTTCTGAGAAACCAAACATCTGCAGAACATGAACTCAAAGAAAGTGGAAGAGTTTAACCTGCAACCACGTTCGGCTAAATGCAAAGCAATGTTCACTGAAATCTCATCTCCATTTGAAGTGAGCAACACTTTCTTTGCTTGATTCTCCATTCTCGAAAACCAACTGTCAATCAACCAAAACCCCAAAAAACATCAAAAAACAACACAATCAAACAGAACCCAGAAAGAAAACCCAAAGCTTTGAAACAAAATCATTCCCATATATTGGTGCAGATAAAATGAATCAAGCTAGAGCCTTGGAGGGATTTATGAAAGTAAAAGTCTAGCCTTTGGTAGCTGTGCTTTTATATGAGAAATAAATGGTTATTATCAGAGTTTGTTAATAAGAGAAGAGATGGGAATGCGTTGGGACCAAATCAGCCAAAAGTCCTTCGAGTTCTTGCTGCCTTCCACGGCATACACTTGCATATCATCTTCCACATGTCGGGGTAATGGGTTGTTCAGTTGCTTAGAAAAGATGCTTTAACAACCTCCACGTGTCTCTGCTTGTTTAAGATTGCACTTTAATTGACCATGTCACTTATCTAGAATTAACTAATAGCGTATTAATTAATTAATAAGCAAACTATATAAGATTGAGTCAAAATTTAAATAAATTGATTAAAAATTAAGCTATTCGAATCAATTTGATTAAATTTATTTAATAAAATTAAATTCGATTTGCATATTTGATTTCAAACCCAATTATATATTTAAATTTGAGTCCAAATTAATATATAAAGATAAAATAATTAATTTTTTAATTAAAATAATAAAAATATATTAAAATTTAAAATCTCAATTAAATTCGTGAGCTATTTGAACCAAATATTAAGATATTAGAATTAAGCTCATTTAATAAGCTAAATTATTTAAACTCAACTTAATAATGATCGAACTAAATTTAAATTTTATTCAAATTAATTTCGAATAATTTACGAACATCGATATATAATTTATATACTTATATCCAATGCCACCTAATAATGGTTTTATGATCATATTTGGTAAACATTTTGATGTATCTTTTATTTTTAAAAAAATAAAATATTCAAAATCAATTCTTTAAACAAGAAATAAATGTAGGTAACATTACATTAAATACAAATTGAGATATTGAAAATTTCATATTACTATTATTTTAAAAGATAAATATTGAAACTTAGGTGAAAGCAATACATTATTTGTTTTTGTAAAAAAAGTACAATCTAAAAATAAAATAATAAATTATAAGTCTTAAAATTTAAATTTCAGAACTCTTAAATATATGTTTTTAAATGACTACATAATTTGTTATTTTATGAGAGTTGACAGCTGGTCTGATAAGTTATTATGCTGGTCCAATAAGTGAGAATGGTATGGTGTTGGGGAATTTAAAGTTAGAAATTGATGGTTGTTTGTTATTTTTGTTGGTTGATTTGAAGATTGGACGATAGTTAATATAATGTGAATATGATTAAATTTAGTAATTCGTATATTTATATTATATAAAATATTAATAATTTATGTATTTAAATTATATTTTATATAAAAATTATAAATTTTTTGTCAATATAAAAACTCAAAAAATATTTTTTTTTGTTTATCAATTTCATATATAATTTTTGTTAAAATTTAAATCATATTACTTTGATTTTTTTATATCATTTTCATGTTATATTATCAAATTATATTTTAAATTATTAAATTTAAATATGACCAAAGAATTTTACGACTTGGCCTCGAAGGTATTTCAATTGGAACGGGAATTTCGGATCAATGGGGCTTAAAGAGAACAGAAATATCACTAAATCTTGTTTGGTAGCAAGAGGAACATGGAGAAGAAAGTCAGGGATGTTGATGAGTCAATGTAGGGAGGGAAGTTTTCATGAGATTTCTCGCATTGTTCCATCAGGATTCCATTCTAAACCCAAACAAGGATTTGGTGTAGTCTCCGTTTGTACGTAGACTGGAAAGGAAAACAACAACATCTTGATGTTTATTCACGTCACGTAATAAAGCAAAGACTTATCATATGAAGCACAAGTTTTTTGTTCTATCTGATTATGCGTATATGTGAATTGAAGAAGTCAATCCCTTCTCTATGTGTTCATGGGTTTGTTACACTTACCCATGGTTTCCACGTTTCTCTTAATCATGACGAAATTCAGCTCTCTTCTTTAAAATATTCGTTCATATTTATTTTAAAATTTATCTCGAAATATATATTTAATATGAAATAAAAATAAGATCAATATATTTTTTAGATGAATTTTATTTTTTTATGTTAAGTATTTAATTTAAAATTAATTAATAATAAATATAAAATTATAAAAAATTAAATATTTATTAAATATAAAATAATTCACTTTAATATTTTATACGGAGATGTCAAATTGTTCACGCAAAGGTATAAGGTGTTAAATCACTCGCAACACGTGATGCAAAGCGTAATTAAAAGCATGCCGATAATGACACCATGTGCCAGGTGAGAAATGAGTGAAATATGTCCTCAGCTAAGACAGAGTCTAGATGAAATAAATAAATAAACTATAACTAGATGAAATCATTAATGGAAAGCAATGCAAGTTGGGTCTTTGTTCTTATGAATAAAATTTATATAAAATTTTATAAATAAAATTCATTAATTTTTTATTAAAAGTGAGTAAATAAAAATTTTAATAAAAATTTAAAGTGAAAATTAATAATATATAAAAAAATTATTAAAAAAATTATTTATAATTTAAATTTAATTGATATTAATTTAACAATAAAAATTTTATTAATATTTTTATTAAAAATATTTATTTAATAAATATATCAAAATTTATTAAATTTTTTAAAATTTTATATACTTAATTTATATAATAAAAAATTTTAATATATTAATTTTTATTTTTATTTACTCATTTTTAATAAAAATTTTACGAAATTTTGTTATAAAATTTTATATAAATTTTTTACTACTTTTATAGGTAATAATTATAATTAAGAGACAGGATAATTACTTTTTTTTAATTACATCAAAAGAACATCATTTTAATACAAGTAAAAGAGAGAAAAAAAATCTAATCTTAATACAAATAAAAAAAAAAAAAAAAAGTTTGATTCAAAATTAAACCCTTAATATTCTTTTAAGCATCTTTAACCATTACATCAAAAAGGCTATGAGACAACTAATCCCTATTCAATTTATGTCAAATCATCTTTTCTTTTTCTTAAGTGAGGTGATGGACGAACTTAATTCCATCTCCACAAAAAACAAAAGTAGTAGTATATTAGTCTCAAAATTATTATTTTTTTTTTTTCAAATGAACTCAACTTTATTCTTATTTTTAATAAATTTAAAAAAATTTTAAAAAATAAATTTTGAGTTTTAAAATTTTCTAAACATATTTTTTAAAATTTTAATTCTAGATAATATGTTAAACAATAAGATCAAAATTAAATTGATTTGTCCAAAAAAATTAATAAAATATAATTATTTTAAGACAAAAAGAATAGTGTAAAATAATAATAAATATTTATATCTTTTTATTCAAATAATATTTTAAAATATTTGTTCACCATGCATCAAGCAAATGATCAATACATTAAAAATCCAATATCAAATATCAATCATCATCAAACAAGTACATGAAGTTGAAGTTATATGAATGATTCAATGAATTTCCAAGTTTTTTCCCAATAAGACAAAAAAACAGTGAGAGATTTTGGGGGAGAGACAAATAAAAGAGTGATGGATTGTCCATGACATCAAATTAGATGGATGATTTTCTATCTAATGTCTTTCTTTATCGGACGTGATGGATCAACTTTTGCATGTCTTTTCATCTCCAAAAAAAGTTAAAAGTAATCTATATATTAATATTAATTATTTTTATATAAAAGATATCAAAACTTTTAAAAATAAGAGAAAGAGGACTATAAGTGCGTGAGATCAAACTTTAATTTTATAGAAATTTAACTTTTATAAAAGTGAGTGAACCATTAATATATGCATGGATCCCTTTAATTAAGGAAGTCTATTTGAATTACTTTCTTTTATTAAAAAAAATTAAAATTTTGTATTAGAAGGCACATGAGATTTTAAAGGTGAAAAATTTTTAAAAATTAATTTAAATTTTGAATTGATTTTTTTATTTGATTTATATTAAATTCAGATATTAAATATATATATATTATATTTCAATTGGGAGGTGAAAAACTAAATCAAATTATTTATATTTTTTAGTTTTTACATATATTTTAAATTTTTATAAAATATAAATAATAATTTTATATTAAAATTTATTTAAATATATTAAATTTTTATATTAAAATAATATATGAAAATAAAAAAATTAAATTTAAAAATTGATAATTCAAAATAAATTGATATAATCAATTTGGTTTAATTCGAATTATATGAAAGTTTGGTCAAAATTAAATTGAATTTTAAAAATTTATACTATTATATAGTTTATTTACTTGATTTTTTAAGTTTAAATTTTAAAGTCTAAAAAACCCTAAAGAATGAAAATTTTAATTAAATAGAAATATTTTCAAAAAATTCCATGTGTATATTTTTTCATTTAGCAATGGATAAAAAATTTCCAAAAGTTTATTTAAAAAAAATATCAAAAGATTTTGTTTTTCATTTTACTTTCCTAATTACTAAAAATGGGCTCTTGGGCTTGCGATTGTGGCCCAATTGATTTTTGGTACATTGTGATAGCCTAACAATAGTCAGTCCAACATCCACCAAAAGTAGTAAATAAAGGTATAATACTTAAATCAACTCTCAAACTTTACTCTAAAATATAAATAAGCCCTCAATATTTTATGGCATCAAATTAAAATTATAAAATTTTATTTTATTATAATTAAAATTTTAATAATATAAAATATTTATTTTTTTAATTGATTGATTTAATTTATAAAAAAATATTTATTTAGATATAAATGAGTTAAATAATAAATATTTTTAAAAAATATTATTTTAAAAATTTTATCGATTAGACATTATTTATTTAATTTTAAAATTTAATGAATACGATTACAATAAAATAAAAATTTTTAATTTTAATATTATATAATAAAAAATCGAGGACTTATTTGTATTTTAGAGTAAAATTTGAGTGTTTATTTGACTATTAAGCCATAAATAAACAAAATAACTCTTTGTTTTTTTTAAAAAATACCTCATCCTCTTCCAGTTCCTGCAACGCTTACACCGCCACGGACCACCGCGTTCCGCCTCTTCCTCCACCTCAACAGCCACCTCTCCCATTTGTACATTGACTTTTAGCCTTAATTAGTCAAACTTCTCTGCACCAAACATGGCGGCTTCTGCTTTCTCGGCTTACTCTTTGTTCAGTTCGAGAATTAGCGAACCATCAACCTTAATCTCCTCGAAATCACGCTCTACGTAAGCTTCTTGACCAGCTTAATTAATATAATCACTTCTTTAAACAAAAATTATTACAAAGTTCAAATTTTTGCAGGTTTAGCTTCAAAAGACCTCCACCTATGAAAATCTCATGCGATTACTCTTGCTTGGAAGTAAGTTGTTTATTTTTTTTAATTCTTTTTTATTTGAATTTAAATTCTAATAAAGTTAAAATCTTTTTTTTTTATGTTCATGATTTCATTGGATTAACTGTTTCTTTTTGCTGTTTTGATTTTGTCAGTAGCTATGACATGAATTTAGAGAATACAACGATTAAATTTCAATTCATAGCCGTTGTGTTTAGCAGATGGATGCTTTTTTGAATTGCTTTTAGTGGGGTTGTTTGTTTTGATTGAATATAATAGTGAAAGTTATGGACTATGCTGAAAAGATGTAATCTTTGTCATTTCAAGGTTAAGGATGTTCATTATCGACCTCCAGGGACACAGGTTAACCTTTTAAATGGAGTTAGCTTTTCACTTCCAGAGAAAAGGTAAATGCTTTACTTGTAAATAATAGAAAATGAAGATTGTTTATGTTTGGATTTTCTGCAAGTTATTTTTGCATAGTAATTACTCTAACGAGTGTAAGCTCGGAAAAATCGTTAAGAATTAACCATAGTCTATAAGACATTGGAATATCATGTCACACTTTCTACCCCTATTTACTAATTTATATTATGTGGAAGCAGATTCATATGATAGATTGTTTATGATTGTTTAGAAGCTCACTTTATATTATGGTGTAAATAGTTTGTGTTTTTGTTTTTGGCCAGAAAGTAAATAGTTTGTGTGTGTTGCTGCAGTTTTGGCTTAATTTTTGGACAGAGTGGAAGTGGGAAAACTACTCTCTTGCAGGTCTACCATATGTGTTTATGCGTTCTAATCAGTCATCTTTGTCATTTTATACCTTGTACGTCTTCTTATTTGTGTTTCCCCTTTCAGCTACTTGCAGGGTTAAGCAAACCAACGTCAGGTTCTATTTATATTCAGAGATATACAAATGATGGCAAACCAAATCAGTCTCCAAAATCATTAGTTCCAGAAAGAATTGGTATCGTCTTCCAGTTCCCAGAGAGGTACCTGATATCAAACTGCAAAATTCTGCTTGTCTTTATTTGGCAGGATTTTGGATCTTTGATAGCTGCATTCTTGTAATTTCTCTTAATGCCTTCTTGGTCTGCTGTTGCATGTTTTCTAGAATTTTTAAGTATTATGAAGTAGGTTTGTGTCAAGAATCTTTTGTCAATACCCCACATGCGCACATGTTTTTTCTGGTTCTTTATCTTGTTGATGGAAACTCAGCTTCTGTTATCACTGAAATTTTTTACTGCCAGTTAAGCAACGTGGCTCTTTTAGCTCTTTTTATTTGCTTAGTCCTTAACTTGTTTAAGACCAAATAGTATTTCGAATTCATATTCTTATATATCATCTTCTTAACTTGTTCTGTGTCTTAGTTCATTTTCTTATAGATTCTAAACAATATTATATGGTATGTTGCTGGCAAGGTATTTCGTGGCAGACAATGTGCTTGATGAAGTTACATTTGGCTGGCCAAGGCAAAGGGTTGGGCTTCAATTGAAGGAGCATCTTGCATTAAATCTCCAAAGAGCTTTAAACTGGGTGTGCATGCTCATAGAATTTTATCTACTTGTGGCTTCTAAACTTTCCTTCTCACCTATCTACATTTTTTTAGTGGGTATTAATTCTAAAAGTATTAATCTCTTCCAAATATAAAATTTCTTTAAATGATGATGTTAGGTTGGATTGAATGGGATTTCCTTGGATAAAGATCCTCATTCATTGAGTGGCGGCTACAAACGTCGACTTGCTCTTGCAATTCAATTAGTAAGGACCTACAGAATGATTTGCAAACTGCAGTAAAATTTTTAAACAAATATGATTTACAAATGCCAATTCTTGTGTGATTATTTAAATTATGACATGTTTGTTGCCCACTGAATGTTTTCTTTTATTTTTTTTGTTCCTTTTCGTTGTGTGATGGCCGAAGGCACAAGTCCCTGACTTACTGATATTGGACGAGCCTCTTGCTGGTCTTGGTATGACCTTGCTTTTTCTACTCTGTTTTTGTTACAGGTCTGGTTATCTTCTGTTTTATGTTATAGTTTTAGAAATTAGAGTTCCTGAATAGAGCATGAACAACAATCAAGTGCTTTCGAAAACATTTTGCTGTTGATAGCCAATTAATGAGTTGAAAGCAACTTTTTGCTACCTGAGGTGGCTTTGACATTATCTAAATAGTTATTTTTCTGATTTGTCTGCCTTCTAAATGTTATTGTTGCTAATGCTACCGTAAAAAATCAGATTGGAAGGCGCGCGCTGATGTTGTGAAGCTTTTGAAGCATCTGAAGAAAGAATTAACTATACTTGTCGTCAGTCATGATCTCAAGTAAGTCTTATCTTTTGATTTGCCATTATGGTTTATTTCCACTAGAATGTTATATTCATTGTACAATGTATAGGTTATGTTGTCTTAATTGGGTAAAAAGGAACTGTGTAAACCTTCGTGGCCTCATTCAATTTCGATGTTTTCTTCTAACAGCTCTTTTATAATAATGGTTAATGCAATGGCTTGTGTAACTCACCCAAACCAAACTGATATATTTTTTAACTAAACCCTTTTATGATCTCGTTGATGAGATCCAGGTCCCAATAAAATGAATTTTGTTGTTTGTAATTCTCCTTTGATTGCATATGCTAATACTTTCAGCTTATGGAGCTTTTTGGTTTCTTTTTTCAGAGAGCTAGAAGATTTAGTTGATCGATCTTGGAGGATGGAAATGGGTGGAGTTTTGAGGGAAGAGAGCCTACTGGTTTAGTTTAGGGCCTTGCCTGCTAAATTGACACTTCTTTCTTTGATGTTTGATATTTCAGAGTGAATTCAAATATTGTTGTAGCTCAATTATGGACTCTTTTGAAGTGCTTTGATTGTGGACCGGAATATTCTCAAGAATTGGAAGGAGACTTAAAAGTGATCGTAAACGCATCTTCAGAGTAGGAAAACTACAAGAAACAAAGTGCACGACTTTATTTTCACACACCGGAGGATAAAATGGATTCTGCCAACTAGTCCTCTTCTTCTTCAATTGAGTTCATCACCGCTCAACTGCAAATGCATTACAACACAGTTGCTATTATAAAGCCATAAGATTGGCATTCTTACTGCAAAGGATGAAAGCTACCAATAAGCATTTGTTGCAGTTTCTTCACTACAGCTCCAACACCAAGTCTACGATGACAGCAGCAGATGATGGGCAGACATATATTAGAAAAAAACTAAATACTCATCTTGCAAAGCTCAATTACGGTCTGTATTGCTATTGTTTATATGTTAAATGAATGTCTGATATAAGGTTTAGGAATATATTTCTGATTATGTCAAAATATTGCCTATTCATTTGTAAGTTATGAACGCTAATTCTGATAATAGTTCATTTAGTTTCTTCCATATTTCCTGTGTAACATCATTACTATTTTTGGTTTAACCATCTTTATGGATTTTACTTTGGAATCGATCATTTAAAACAATGGATTTTCATTTGAACGGCCAAGATGGTGGAGTTTATGCTAAAAGTTTATCATTTTATGGGCTGCATAATACTTACAGTAGGCATCTGTTTTAATACAGTGCTCCCCATTGCCGCTTGCAGCAGTACAGCCAGTAAGCACGTATAGAGCCAGTTTTGGGGCGGTCTCATAATCTTGTATTCCTGCCTTTGACCTTAATCCCTGAGGAAACAACCTGTTGTCTTTATCTTGGTAAATCTGGTCTCCATCAGTATAGTCGTCATCATTGTAAGGTGCATTGTTCATGTTATTCCTATGCAAAATTTTAGACTCTTTCATCCATAGAGCTTTCAGGATGGACTTTTCTGCGGAACAGTTTCATGACCTGCAAGCCACAGTGATTGCAAATTAAAACTCCTGCAGTCCTACAGAACTTTTTTTTTTAATTTATTAGAATAAAAATGCTGTTAAATGTACTTGCTATAGTTTTATTATGGTTCTGGTATGAGAACTCGTACTAACTGATGTTATATACTAAAAGGTTATGATAACGAGGGCCTTTAGGGCATTCTTTAAGGCTAGTTAGTATACAATTTATAATAACAATTTTGTATTAAATGTAATAGTTGACAACTTTTTTCGTAATTTTCAATGTATCGGGTGAAGATATTGCTTTATATAATAACCTTAAAGAGTATTCTTGAGACATTCATTAGCAAAATCCAAATACTAACCATTAGTATGAACCAACATTTCTGAACAAAATTCGCACAAAAGTGTTTGCTCCAACAAAAATGAAAAAGAACAAGAAAGAAGATCATAGCTACTAATAGCTAGAGGTTCCAGTCCTGATATCTACCCAATCTACCAATATCTGAGAATCTTTGAAATGGTTTTCAAAACTAGTTCACCTGACATTTCAATATAGGAATGCTTGCCTAGAACTGATTTATATGCTTGTCTAACGTAGTTGGCACTGGTTTAATTTTGATTATTTGACATTTAAAAAGGTCTGAGATGTTGAATATTTGGTCTTCGTTTATTTGTTTGCGGTGGAAACTTACCATACGTAAAATATGTATAGATTATAACTAACGAGTAGTTGATTTAATCGATTAAATTCATTTTTTTGATGAAGAAATTTTAGATTTGAGTTTTACTAGTGATCACTTGTTGAAATTATTTTGAATGTACAATCTGTAATAATCTGTCTTAAATTATCAAGACGTGCACATTCCCTGAAATCATAGTTCAAAGATTAGGATATCAGACACAGTTGCAAAGAAGAACTCCATGTTGTGTTTAAGCATTACCTATCAATATTCCTTTTAAGCCTTAAAGGGTAATTTGGACCTATCCAGGGGTTTCACTGCCCTTAGTGGTGAACACGGTTGTATTGACAGTGACTGGTTCCCATACTAATTTTGATGTACTTAGTTTAACTATTGTCTATTGTGCTATGAAGAGAGATCACATAGCCCTGAGACCATGAAGATTGGTGGCCCCATCTCTTAAGTGGCTGCGGTATTGGAAAATATGAAAAGGCAAGCTGATTCTGACCCTCAGCTACATGGCAGTGACCACTGGTTTTGATAGTCTAAGGAATCTGTATTTTAACCTTTGTTTTAGGTTTATAATCTATCTGTTTTGAACTATAAATAACTCTGACGAGTTGAGTGCAATGGACTATAATGGCTAATGCATTATTTTGTGGGAGCAGGTGATATTATCGAATTCAGCTGCGCTGATCCAATCTAGTGATGATTTTCATGTTACTTGTGCATGCATGTGGATTTTTACAAGAAATTAGTTGTGAATGGAAGAAGTTGAAATACCAAGTGTGAAATCCTTGAAGGACTCATTATTATTTGGCCGTAACTTATGCTGCATCCATCCTAGTAACTGCAATGACAACAGTAAGAGGTGAGTTTAGCAGGATTTGAAACGTTTATGCTATTGTAAGAAGCTAACAGAGTGGAGAGTTACCTTCATTTTTGTTCTCGCTTTGAGGAGCTTGATGTTAAATTGTTTTGGTTTTCATAGAAGGAATGTATAGCGATAGATTTAGATGAATAAGGGGAATGGGACTTAAAGGGTGAGATAGGATTGCTAAAGAGCAAAATACCCAGGATCTCCGCATCATGACTACTAACAAGTGAACCAATGGTTGCAAGAAGGGTCTGTAACAGATGTGAGTAGAGAGAAACAAGTAGAAAGATACAAGATTTTGGTTGGCTGTTCTCTGTCACGATCAAATCAAGTGGACAAATTGGAGAGTGGTTCACAGAATCTCGATTTCATGGTGTTATCTCTGTCCTCCATTACATGCATTGTTGGAGTAGGTGCATGGCTGCTTGCACGTGTGCAAGATTAGCATAGCCATTGATCAACGTTTGTTATTAATTGTCGACGTTGATGAGTCTTTCATGTCTGTCCTAAATCAGATGATAATACATAGTTTATTGAGAAGCATTCAAACAGATTCATATGCGAATGGACACATAATCAATGAGGCCAGACATCTGAATGTAATCAAATCAGTTTACACGTTCACTTGTGTCTGGGTAGACTAATCCTATAGTGTACTACACTAGAGGACAGTGCCACCATTGCCGGTAGGACAAGAGAACAGTTTTGTTGAATGCTGTCTGTATCAGTTGGAAATATACATTAAGGACTCCACGAGGACTGGATATTTTACTAAACGTTATGGTAGGACATACTTGAGGTATCTCTACCTCGAAAAGGTGCTCATCTATTGTACTGGTGTCACTGAGGTTTTCCCGGCCAAAATATCTTAAGAAATCTATATGTTAAGCATTGCAATTATTGGCTTCAGAGCTGAGTTCAGTTGAAGCACATGCTTCTTACTCTTCTTCCCTATCGTTATCCACATCACACTCTTGTTTGCACTTTTTAAGAGTGACCATTCCTTAGGAATGCTGTAGCATGGTATATTTGTATTCTACCAACATCTCAGTCGCCCCCTCCTACCCCATCTTTATTCCTGAGAGTCAAGGTGAAATCTGCAACATTGCTTGACTGAACTGCTGACAGATGATAATCATGCATTTGCATATATTTTGTTATGAAAGTTTTTAATACCATACTTTTCTTTTTCTTTTTTGTTTTAATCAAAATTCTTTCTAATATAAGACCTTCTGGATTAAAACGAAAACATGGACATCTCATATGGGACCTTGACAGAGGCAAGTTTTACCTTTAATTTGTATATATTTTCCTCTTTTCTTATTGCGAATGATCCCGTTAATACAGCTTTCATAAATTGTAAAACTTTGCTTCGCCATGCAGTGATGTCATCATAGACTCATAGTTGTTGTCGTACCCATGGTTGGTGATTGTTATCATGAAGTTGCATTTGATGCAGGCAGGGCATGATAATGACATATTTTTAGCAATTGAAGATTGCTACTGAGATGCTTTCCTGCTTCCATGTATGATTTTTGGATCAAGAAAGGTGCCACTCAGACAGGATTGCTGGCTCTGATACATCAACATACCCCACACGCATCTTGGAAGTCAGTGTGAGCCGAGGAGGAAGATGTTGTTAGCATCCAGACAAAACTCACCACAAACGCCTTCAATTTGAGAGTTGAGACCCCCCCCCCCCCATTGTGTGGTTATTATGGTTTGTTACTATAAATACCTGTTGTTTTTTATTTTTTATTTTAGTTATTGAAATCACCCTTGATCTCCCTCACTTCCCATTCCTCTATTACCATATTTTCTGGTCCACTTTCCCCTATTGTTTCTCTTTTCAACTCTGTTTCTCATCCTGTGTCTTCATATCATTTCATGTTTGGAGTTTCTCTTCTATCTTCTTCCTCTTTCAACTGTGTAAAACATACAGATCGAGCTAGTTGATCCTTTCTTCATTTGATCATTAACTATTAATGTCTGGGGTCTCTTTTTTCCTCCCATCAATCGAAAAGATCTTTTTTGCCACAAAGATTTGCAAAGATTCCATTAGATCTAAGATGGAACAGTTAAACTTATTACTGCCAGACCAGTCAAGTACATCAGTCCATCATTATTGAGATAATGATTTAGGTGAGACAAGCCTGCGAAATCTGTCAAAACACTAGCCTATTTGAGGTGAAGTGGGTTTTGAGGGATGCTCATTTTCAGCTAACCAACAAGCTGCTATAAAACATGAGTCCAAGAAAAAAGGTCAGAAGAAAAACAAGTAGATATAAAACATGTAATTGCCCCACTATTGCATTCCACAGTCTAAACAAAGACGAGCAACACACGACTTTCCGTGGGATATTGGCTGACTCAACCCTTCATTTGATGGTGGACATGTGAATCCCACATGGAATTTTAGAATTTTCATTGCTTTCCCATTTCCTTTTCTTACATAGTTTATCGGTTCTCTAGGAAAAAAAAATGTCTCATTTCCGTTGTATCCTACTGTTTTTTTCCCCCTTTTGGCTGTAAGATTTTAGAATAAACATGGCAAATCTCAATGATGGAAATGGTACTATGGATGTTTGAGTTGACGATGATTATGAAAATAAAGGTATATGGGCCATTAAAACACAAGAAATTGTGTTTGTGCACATGTAGCAGTGAAGTTTGTTGGCAAAAGAAGAAAAAAAGTAGCATCTTAAAATGTAGGGATGTAATCATCATTGAATAAGCCTTGGATACTATGACTATAAATAAATACTACTATTGGATCAAAAAAATTAAACAAATATATACCAGTGAAATGCTAATCAATTGATTAATCACCAAAGATACTACTTATGATTTAAAAAAAAAAAAACTATTTTATGTGTTTTTCACACTAGATAAGTAAATAGATTTAAGCTGTTATTATTACCATAAAGGATTTAAGAGATTGGACTAGAGGTTGTACTTGGGAAAGTGAATTTATTTTGTATTTGAATAATTTGAATTTGAGTTCACTTT